CAGATAAGGATTGAAAGGGAAGAATAGCACTGTATCCTTAAGTTTTTCATCATATACTTGTACTTTTACTGTATGAGCACGACTGTTCAAAGGATTACACTGTATCCTATACACTCCAGGATCAGTGCTGGTGGTAGTGACTGTAGTGTGAATGGGTTGATCACCTTTACCGACTGGTACTAAACTACAGCTAAGAGAAAAGAGGGGAACAGACAAAAGAGATGAATCTGGTGCTTGCATTGATAGTGAAAATGAAACTTTCTTCTCTTTTGGTAGACGTTCAAAACAACCAACTTTCTTCACTTTACACTGCTCTAGTGAAGTAGATGAGTGGGTCACAATGTCTCCAATGTGATGAAGCGATTTGATATCTTTAATTAATACGAAGTCAGCTCTTTCCTTTGGACTTAATTTCTCCATATTAACCTGGCCAGTGACTTCACTCATACGCTCCATCATTTGTTTCTTAGACCTCAGGACTTGTTGAGGACTGCCTGTCTTCAGACTCTGTTCCACATAATCCTTGAAATCCTCCAGGAGACTCAAACTCTTTTCTGCTGATTTCATTTGATCTGAGATCACCTTCAACTTGGCATCTGTGACTCTTTTTGCCCGCAGAGTCAGTTTTCTCTCTGAGTGACGAAGAACATTTATCATTTCCTCTACCATTTCGTGTATTTCTTCTAAGACTCTTTCTCCTCTCTCTCTGATCTCACCCTCTCTCTCTGCTAGAGCATACAGGACCTTCTTGAGTGCTTCCTTCTTTCCCTCAACTGGTAATAGACATTCTCTTAACTTTTGACAGTGTTTAGTATAACTGTCAGTGATTAAGTCATTTTCATGGCCTTTGTGATTACGAACTGAGCAGGTAACACAGATTACTGTATCACATGATTCACAGAATAGCTCCAAAGGCTTCCCATGATCACTACATGTGGTCTCTTGAGGGTTTGATAAGTCTGCTGTCTTCTTCATTAGACTTTGCATCTCTTTGAGGTTGTTGAGGTGGAATGCTACAGGAAAGGCTCCTGTTCCTTCTTCTGGTAACTCTATGCAATCACGACAAGTGGGACAAGAGAGGTAATAGGTCTCATTCTTCTTATCCAGAGGTAATCCCTCCAGACAGTGCTGACAAAATGAATGGAGACAAGGTAAAGTCTTAGGGTTGGTATAGTGGTCAAGACACACAGGACAGGTGAGCTGTTCCTCTAGTTTGAGGAGACCAGGAGAAGATTGCTTGGTTGCCATTTCAAGAAAAGAGTAAAACCGTGTATGATGAAAAATAAAGTTTGAAGATGATAAATAAAGGAAAGATAGCTATGATGACCTCTTGCCTTGGAATTTTCAGGAAGTTATGATAAAAGCAGATACTTTGTAAATAAAAAATTTTTTTATGCCAACACCTTTTACTACTAGACTGTAGCAATGCATTGTAATTTTTAACCATACATGTATTTCAACGTCTGTACACTTATGCAAGGCTTGGTATCAGTTGTGAAGGAAGCCCCTTGACCCTCCTATTTGTGAAGGGTTCATATGTTTATTTGTGTGTTATTTCTTATGTTTGTTTAGTTTGGGTGGATTTTGTGGCTTTATTTTGTTTTGTTTATGTTTACATGTAGTTTTTTGTGATTGTTGTCTCTTTGTTACATGTAGGCCTTTTTGTGATTTTGTGTGCAGTGTTTTACTTATCTTTACTTTTTATAATTCATTTATTCATTCATTCATTCATTCATAATAATAATAATAAATACTTATTATAAATATATCCTAACTTTCCTTTACCATTTCTAAAATTCTGTACCATTACTTTTTTCTACATCTAAGTATATGCATATATTTTAAAACTGTTTTAAGTATTATAATAATAATAATAATCATAATAATAATTTATCGTTTTGTTTTGTTTCGCTTCTTTCTTGGTTTTTTCCTTTTTGTGTTTATTTGTGTGTGTGTGTTGTATTGTACTTTTTGTCTTGGTTTTAAAATAATGATATTAATAATAAGTATCAATATTAATAATAATGTTCCAAGATCCACACGCAGATTTCCCATCCTGCCTGTGACAGCCTGTCATTGACAGTATTCTTTCATTGAACTTGTGTTTCATGTAGTGGGTTTTAGCCAACTAATGTTAGACTAGCTTTGTCATAATTCTTATTATGCTTCTTTGTTAATTTGGGTTTGTTTAGGCACTCTTTTCTTTCTTTTTTGCTACTACTACTACTGCTACTCCTACTAATAATAATAGTAATAATAATAATTGTTATTGTTGTTGTTATTTCTGGCAAGGAAGTTTTGTCATAATTATGAGGACCTTATTTTATTATGAAATTAAATTATGAATTTTTAAAATTTAATTTACCAGTACTTTATGTCCTTGGATGTGTGTATTATATTCATGTACTTGTACATGTATAAAAGATCCTATTTTTGTTTTGCTTTACTAGATAACTGCCAGATATTGATAGAGACTTTGAGTCTCCCTCCTGTTCTCTCTCCCTCATTGTATGCCCATTGCTCTATAGTCCACTGTAACTCACTCCTCACTTGTCAAGACCTGACTGTCACATGGTTACAGAATGGATCAGTTAAACACGATCTATCAGTTTCTGGGTAAGAGAAGAATAAAATTGAGTTTATAAAAATTGCATTAAAATGTGAACTGTTTGTTAAACGGGACTACACGATACAAGAACACACCTTAAAATTTAAACAATCCCACTTTGTAGGTTATTTTAATAAATTGGTTTGCAATGTCTTGCTATACATGTACTTGTACACATGCATGCACGTACATGTACATGTACATATAAAAAACCATGATCTTTATGATCTGTAGGGAATAAAGGGAGGGAGGGAGGAGGAGATAGAGAATGCATTATGTCATTATGTACATGTACATGTACATACCATGATCATTATTATCTGTCCAGAGAGAGAGTGGGAAATAGAGGGAAGGAGGGAGGAAGAGATAGAGAATACATTATGTACATGTACAAGTCATTATACTTTTACTTAACTATATACATCTTTCTTCCTTCATCTTCTATCACCTTTTATCATTCATTTCTTATCGTTATAGTATGGACACTCTTTCTTTCCTAATGGATACTATACTACCACAGATGCTAGAGTTCACAGCATCACACGGAAACACTCTTACAGGACACATTCAAAAACAAACTGATCTCACCCTCCACCTCATCCAGTCCTTCCTCTCTCTCCTTTCGGCTGTACTTGATCGTCACTCGCCAAAGAAAGAAGACTCCATTCCTTATTCTACCAGTCGTGCTAGTAGCAATTTTAATACTGGAGGAAACTTGAGTAAAATGGACAGTGTTAGTAGCATGGTCTCCGTAGCCTCTTCTGTCCCACAGAGATCTAGAATCCAATCTCTTACAGACCAACCGTTCCCTGAGATGCCTACCCAGTCCTCTGTCCTTAGTTTTACTGGAGTTGATGAGAGTGTACTGATTCTGGATGAGATTGATAAACTATCTACTGAGTCCGACTGTGAGATTATAACTGTCCAATATCTCATGACGACTGCATTTGTGTTCTCTCTCATTTGGTCTTTTGGTGGCTACATTGACTCAAGGTATAATACATACAGTGTACAGTGTACACATACATGCAGGGTTTGGTATATAATAGTGCTCATGCAAGTTCTTGTTAGTTGATTTTAGAGTTGCTCAAAAATTTGACAAAATACCATTAAGTAATACAGAATATTTCTTCAGAAATTGTTAGAAGATAATTTTTCATTTTTGTATTTTTTTCAAATACACATGCATGTTTATCAAATTTTTATGAATTACTCAAGAATTGGACCAAAGTCCCTGTACTATAGTACAGGGTCCTCGGCCAAATTTCATCAAAAATGACTAGGAGAGAATTCTTCACTTTTATAATTTTATCTGATGCATATACATGTTTTTATGTTGAATAGCAAGTTTGAGCTGATTTTGATCAAAATTAATTTTTTTATAAATTTTTGAAGTTGCTCAAAAATTAAGCCAAAGTCCCTGTACTATAGTACAGGGTCCTCGGCCAAATTTCGTCAAAATTGACTAGGAGAGAATTTTTAACTTTTATAATTTTATCTGATGCATATACATCTTTTTATGTTGTGTAGCAAGTTTGAGCTGATTCCGATCAAAATTGGATTATTTACAAATTTTTTAAGTTGCCCCAAATTCATGTACCGTAAATGTTCAAATAAAGGCCGGGCTTGAATAAACGCCTGGTACTAAGAATCTTCAAGTATAGATACACATATTTTACTCAATATAGGTACCACAATCTTTAGAGTGTCCCAAATGGCCCAACTTGTTAAGCTGAGTGCATTGAATCTGGAAGTCCGGGTTCGAATCCCAGTTTTATTTTTTCTTTTTTTATTTTACGCAATTTTTTTGTCCTGGAAAGAAATAAACGCCCGGGCTTTTATTTGAACATTTACGGTACATTGTAGCCTTGTGGGAAGCCCTACATGTATATACAGTTATTTTGAAAGTTGAAACCATCATAATTAATATTTATTACAGGCACTACAATGAGTTCAGTAAAGCAGTTCGAGATGTTGTTTCTTCCCTTCCAATGGCTAATGATATCATTCCTCAGGATGGACTTGTTTTTGATTATTTTCTTGATCAAAAGACTCAGCAGTTCCTCCCATGGAGTGAGAGAAAGAGAGACAGTGGAGCCTCAAAGTCCAACACTCCTATTGATAGCTATGTACCTATACCTGAAGTATGTATTGATTTTTAAATAGTTTAGTTATACCGTATAGCCGCTTAATTTTAGTGAATTTTCCGTGCCTACAAAAGTTAATCCTGTAAAATTATTTTTAAAAATTTAATTAAAATGGTAAAAATAAATAGTTGTAAAATTATTAATTTTCACACATTTTTCACACCTTTTTTTACACCGTCTTTATACTTTGAGGTGTTAAAAATAAGAAATTAATTAAATTATTTAAAAAATTTTTAATAAAATTAATTAAAATGGTAAAAATAAATAGTTTTAAAATTATTAATTCTCACACTTTTTTCACACCTTTTCACACTTTGAGGTGTTAGAAAGAGCAGAAAATAAGAAATTAATTAAACTATTTTCAAAAATTTTAATAAAATGGTACAAATAATTAGTTTAAAATTATTAATTTTCATACCTTATTCTGCTCTTAATATTATTATTATTTGTTTTTCTGTGTGTCTAACAATAATGTTTATAAAAGAATAATAATAAATAAATTAAAGTAAAATTAATTAAATAAATTAAATTAATAATTTTAAATTTAATCTTTAAAATTTTTATTGTTTTTTTTGTTTTTTTTTATTTATTAATTTTTCTAATTTTTTTTTATTTTTGATTTTTTTAATTTTTAATTTTTATTTTTATTGCTTATTTTTTGTTTTATTTTTATTTATTTTGTTTTTAATTTTTTATTTTTTTTTCTAATTTTTTAATTTTTTAATGTTAATTTTAATTTTATTTTTATTTTTTGAATTTAATTTTGTTTTGGTTTTATCATTATCTTTATATTTTTTGTTATTATTATTATTTTTTTATTTTTTTATGTTTTATTTTAATTCTATAATTATTGTTTTATTTTTATTCTTTAATATTTTTATATTTTGCTAATATTTTAATTTTTAATTTTATTTATTTATTATTTTATTTGTATTTTTTAATTCTATTTTATTTTAAATTTTATTTTTATTTTTATATTTTTTTAATTTTTTGTGGTTAGCATTTCTGTATGGGCATGTACAGAAATACGATGTGCTTATATGAATTTATACATGTACATGTACTTTTTCATTGATTTACATTTTTCTGCTATTTTACAGTTGGAGAGGTTTGTGTACATCTCTGAGCTGTATCTTGGCTATGGCTTCCATGTTCTATTTATTGGTGAAGAAGGCTCAGGAAAGACATCATTTCTTAAGGTAAAGAAGTACATTGTACACAGTCTATTGTATAGTAACTAGTACACTGCTACTCTGTATGTGTAGCATAATAGGTGTCAATATTTAAAATTGACTTTACAATGTACTTATAGAGTATACATGTGTATAATTATGTACATGCATGAACATGCATTTTTGCATCTTATTGTACATATACATGTACAATAAGATGTACATGTATATGTACGTGTACATGTATATGTATGTGTACTTGTTGTACATTAAATCAACACTCTCTTTTTTTATGTAGAAATTTATACAGCCAAGAATGAGTGCAACACTCGTCCCCATCTCTTCATCCCTCACTCCTCTGTCCCTCCAATCCACTCTCCTCTCTCGTATTGCTCAACTACGAAAGAGACAAACTAACTCAAAAAAGACATCAAACCAACGTAGAACGTTTATACTCGACGACCTCCATCTTGCCTCCCTCTTCCCTTACCTTCCAGGAAAAGATGAAGACGAGGGAAACTGGTGTGATTCTTTCTCTTCCTACACTCATCCTCCTCTCATTAATCTTGTGTCTCATTTAGCTGAGCACAAGACCTTGCATGATGAGGAAAGAGACTACACTCATTCTCTCCCTAGTCTTAGACTAGTTGGTACTTGTACTACTGATGGCGTACAGGATTTGAGCCTGTCTCTTTTAAGATGGATGAGGCCTGTCCCTTTCATTAGTGTATCTAATGAAGGACTACACCTGATACTTCAGCAGAGGATCATGACATTAGTGAAGAAGCTTCCGGTGGAAAGTATGGAGAAAGCTACATTGCTTGTTAATGTAAGGATTTATACTGCATGTAGTCTACCATGCATTTGTATGTGTCCAAATTATTTAATAGAGCTACATGTACATGTACATGTACATGTATCAGTAATTGCTTTCCTGCTATTTCATACATGCATTTCTATAGCAAAAAAAGTATTGTAGAAATTGTTAAATTTACAATTGATTTTGGTCAAATTCACAAAACTTTGGGCTAAAACATCTTATAATTATGATATTTAAAGACTAGTTATTACTATGCTTCTTGTATTTTAGGCACTAGCTACTGCATCACTAGCAATACATGACAACATGAAGAAAAGGTTCAACTCTGTTTCCTCACCAGCTCATCCTCACATTCACTTCTTCCTCCGTCACACATCAGAGCTGGTTAATGGTCTATTGCTAATGGAACCAACCACTGACAAATCAGCTATCAGTTTAATGAATAAGCTAAGAAGACGTGGAGGCATACATCTCACTGGTAAGCTATACAATGCCAGCATTATTGTACCGTGTATAAAGGAATATTTCAAGTTTTAGCACTAGCAAATTTATTTTGTATTAAAAGTTTTTGTGTCACAAAATTAAAAAATTCATTTAATCAATGCTTGCCAGGCATGTACATGTATATGTGCATGTTGTACGAAAACTTAAATTCAGCATGTGTTTGTACATTTTTTTGAATGCAGTATTAGCTTTTTTTCCTGTCCATATCTCGTAGGTATGGAATTAGTGTCTATTCCTGGTGTTAGAAGAGGCAATAAGAAGAGCAGTAAGAGCAGCGGTAGTAGTGGTGGAGGTGTAAGATCAAGCAGGTCCTCGTCCCGTCTTACCACTAGTAGAGGACAGCAACCAAAGTCTCTTCCACCATTGACAGAATCATTAGAGTCTACCGGAGGTGACTCAGAATCACAGTCCAAGCTTGGAGGAGTAACACGTCAACAGACTCACCCTGGAGCGAGAATGAGTGGGAAATTATCTGGAAAAGGAAGTGCTTTACAAAATAAGTCATCGTCAGTTTCTGTGAAGGACCAGGAAGAGAGCGAGGGTGATAAAATGACGAGGATCCTCCGGGTCTTGTTTCGTGTCTGGTGTCACGAGTGCTCACGAGTTTTCACCGATCATCTGACGCAGAGCAAAGACAAGATTTGGTTTTCAAAGCTGTTGGAGTCGGTTCTTAAGTATTGCTTCTGTGGAGCTGTTTTAGGAGAGACTGGAGGAGAAGGAGGAGAAAGAGGAGGAGGAGGAGGAGGAGGGGGAAGGAGAGCTAGGCCAGGTCGTCCTTCAAAAGTATCTCAAGCTCCTTCTTCTATTTCGCTAGCTACTTCAGTTATACAAGCCAGTGATTTGAAAAACATTGGGATAGATTTCACTATTCTACAAGAGCTCCTGCCTAAAGAATCCCAGCACCAGTTTCTAACGTTTGATCAGATTGCAATGAGAGGGGAAGACTTGTCTAGTTTCATATTTTGTCGTTTGTCTCAAAGAGAACTGTCATTGGAGAAGACTGATGCTAAAGACTTGGGTAATTATAATGAAGTAGGCGATGGAGAGATAAGAATCCTACTAGCTGATACTCTCAGTAACAGTGAAAGAGAACTGAGTCATATCTTCATTAATAAAGACATCATTGAACACGTTACAAGACTTAGCCGGGCCCTGGTAAGATACATCAGATTATCATGCATTAACTGTGAATAGTTCTAACTGTTCAATACAACATGCAATACATAATGTATGCAATTAATAATTTTTTTCTGTTACACAGGTTCTTCCAGGAGGCCACATTCTATATCTTGGCCCATGTGGCGTTGGTAGGAAAACAACTGTTAAACTTTCTGCTGCTATAGTGAATGCTAAAGTATACAATATTAATCAGTGGAACCAGGCTGAGGAGAAAGAGGAAGATGAAGGGAATTTAGATACGAATGAAAAGAAGACTAAAGAGATATTTGGTTTGCCGATTGTAAGGGAAGCATGTAAAACTGCAGCACTGGATCACAAAAGGGTAGTATTGTTAGTAGACGGTTCACTCCTTCCGTGGTATCATGAGCTATGGGACATATTACTGGAAATAATGAGAACTGGTAAGAATAAAATGCTAATACATGCATCTATATGAACATGTACATGTACATTGTATGTATTTGCCATGTTATGTATTTTAAAAGTTTTGAGTCCAAAAATTTTCTCCTTGTACAGTACATGTACAATACTTCAGTCAATTTGTAGCTAATACCTGAGTACTAGCTGTTAGGCTTCAAAATTTTCTGATTCATTTGTAAAATGTTTTTGGCATTCATTAAGGTTGTTAATTAATATTAATTTAATTGCAGGGTTGTCCCCATCACTCTTCACTTCCTCTGAACTCATACTAATGAGTTTCAAGGTACAGCAAGGGAAAGTGCTCAACGTGCGCCGAACTGCTGAAACAGCTTATCAGTCCTTTGCACAAGCAGTTTTCCCATTACTACACATAGTGATAACCTGGGACACTCCTGGAATTAATAACACTAATAACGAAATATTCAGACCTATCAGTTGCTATTCTGAGTTTTACGACGAAGGCGATTTTAGCCTAAAAGACTTTTATATTGGAGAAGAACAGAGACGCTCTCTTTTTAATACACTCACTAAAACCACTAGCTACATGGACCACTATCTCCCTTGGTCTAAAAATAGTTTTAGTGAAGTGGCTCTCCAATTTTGGCAGTCACCAGCAATAGCTGATGGCAGTGTTTTCCCCTCCAACACTTCCAAACTTGAAGCTCTTAGTTTTCTAGCTGCTCATGTTCACTTGTCATCTTGTGCCATGCTCCAGAGGGTGTCCCCAAGGTTTACTGGATGGCTGTTCACTGTTAGGGATTACAAGCATTGTCTGGAGATGGGGTATAGACTAGCTCTTGATTGGAAATTGGAAAAAGAGGTTTGTATGTACATGTACATATTGTACATGAATGAAGGAAGCAAATAATTAATGTATATACTAAACATCATACATGCATGTACATGTATGTACATTGTATTAAATGATTTTATGCTCTATAAACGCATGTACATGTATAAAGATTTCTAGTAGTACATATACTTTTAAATTATGCTCATTCTTTATTTTTAGAAATCAATCAGTCAGTACCACACTGCACTAAGTAAGCTCTATGATCTCGAGAGACAGTTGAGTAGCTTAAAGTGGAAACTTGACGAGGAGTTGAACCCCAAGCTACTGCAAGCGAAGGATGATGTACAGTTACACATGGAGAAGATAACAGCTGCTAAACAGCATTACATGGCTGCCGATAAAAGATGCAAGGACGCCGAGGAGACAATAAAAAGGGAAACAGAACAGATGAGGATTTTTAAGGAACAACTTGATGATAAATTCAATGAAGTATGTGTGTGATTATTATTATACCTTATAGCAAGAAATTTTGGAGGGAATTAAATTTGGTGAATTGGTGTTTTAATGGCCATTCACTAAAATAAAATTTTCCAATCACCAAAATTAAGCAATTCTCCAAATTTTACTCTTTTCAAAATTTCCCACTATATGGTATTTTTCATTAATTTATTCCCTTTACTGACTACATGAATCTCTCTCTATTTCCATGTACACATGTACAGGTATCTCCATTACATTACTCTGCATTGAAGACACTATCCTCAGTAGAGAGAGGTGTGGTCATGGAAATAATGGGATACAGGATACCACCAGGCCCGCTGATGCCTGTCTTTGAAGCACTTTGCCTCCTTTTTGATCGACCAGCAACGTAAGGATAATTAATTATAATATAATTATAATTAATATTGCTATTTGTATTCCTTAATTAATAGTATTAAAGTCATATACGTGTAGCACTTACATGTACATGTACATTTTTATTATTATTACTATAAAAACCAAGCAACAAAAAACAAAAGCCTACACTAAAACATGCATAAAACAAAAATTAAAAGGCACTATTATTATTATTATTTTTTATTTTTATTTATATTACATGTAGATGGTTGGACTGTCAGCAGTTGATGCTCTCTCAGCACTTTTTTGAAAGTCTCAAATTTTTTGATAAAGACGGCGTGCCGAAATCAAAATTGAGAAAACTTGAAAAACTCCTTGTCGACCAAGAGAAAATGTCAATTGAAGTATTAGCTGATGTAAGAAGATTTACAGTGTACATGTACTTCATATGCATGACACTGTTATAATGTAGGGTTTCCCACAAAGCATGCTGAGTGAGCTAATAAAGCTGATTCACACTATAATACAGTACATGGCATTTAGAGTAACTTTAAAAATTTATAAAAAATTCAAATTTTATCAGAATCACCTCATAATTGATACACAGCATAAGGACATGTATATGTATCAGAAAAAATTATAAAAATAAAAAATTTTCACTTAGCCAATTTTGACAAAATTGGGCCAACGACCCAAGGCTATAGCCTTGGGTCGTTGGCCCGTTTTTTGAGTGACTTTAAAAATTCATAAAAAATTCAAATTTGATCGGAATCACTTCAAAATTGATACACAGCATAAGGACATATATATGTATTAGAAAAAATTATAAAAATAAAAAATTCTCACCTAGCCAATTTTGCCAAAATTGAGCCAACGACCCAAGGCTATAGCCTTGGGTCGTTGGCCTCTTTTTTGAGTAACTTTAAAAATTCATAAAAAATTCAAATTTGATTGGAATCACTTCAAAATTGATACACAGCATAAGGACATGTATATGTATCAGAAAAAATTATAAAAATGTAAAATTCTCTCCTAGCCATTTTTGACAAAATTTGACATCCTTTGTTGAAATCCTGAAAGAAGCCTTGATTTCCATATACATGTACTATTATTACAATGGATTTCTTCATTTTCAATGCTATATTGTAATAATCAATTACTATGTACATATGCCTATAGGCTAGTCAAGCAATTGTTCCACTTGTCTTATGGATAACTGCCCTGGTGGATTACAGAAAAACAAGGAGCATCCTCGAGCCTTTCAAAGAGAAACTGCAGAGAGCAGAGAACACACTAACAGAAGCACAAGAGGTCTATGTTGACATGAGACAAGAAATGCTCAATACCAAAGCTGCTCTTGAAGCTACTGTAGAGAGTCATAAAGTAGCTCTTAAAAAAGCTAATGCAATTGAAGGAGAAGTAAAGGTATAGTATACATAGCTCAGATAAACTATTTTTACATGCCACCTTTTCCAGCATCTATTATTTTTACGATTTTTTCATGTTGTGTCATTTTTTATTAGTTGGTGGAAGAAAAAATTGCAAGCACAAAGGAACTTTTTGGCAGTCTCTCTAATCAGAGGAAGAAATGGGAAAACAAACTATCAGTCGTCCAAAATCAACTCGACTCTCTCTCCTCTCACTCACTATTAGTCTCTGCCAGTTGTACGTATCTTGGCTTTCTACCACCGGAAGAGCATAAGAGCCTCTGGGAGAATTGGATATCTTATTGCAGTGGACACGTTAGCATTGGGAGTTTAGTTGTTGAAGAGAGAATCACTCACGAAGTTGATATTAAGCTACAAGAAGGCTTTAGTTTTCATAGTGCCTTAGCTACAGATGATGAGAAGTTGGTTTGGGAGCGAGAGGAGATATTTCCTGACTTGCTGTCGCTTGAGAAGTGCTTACAATGGAAGGCAGTGTCACGTTACAGTAAAGGGTATTACCATCAAGTCATGTTTGATCCTTTGTCATTCTTTTCCAAATACATGAATGGTTTGATAGCCATAAAGAATAGGGATAATAATAGTACTGTCAATTTGCCATATACATCAACCGATTCTACTGATTCCAAACTAACTGATAAGCTAATTGATGCTGCAAGGGAAGGGAAGTCAATAGCAGTTCACATTCAATCTTTGTCTATAACTGATTCATTCAATAATGTCCTCAATCAAATATTAAGCTGGTCTGAGTCCACTACATCGAGCATTACTTTGAATGGAAAAGAACTACATCCACAACCTCATTTCCAAGTCTTTTTTGTTTTCTCTGTTTCTCCTTATTCATCTCCTCTTCATTCTGTTGTTGGCAAATTGCTACAAACTACTCCTACAATTCTTCTTTCCTCTTTGCTGTTGTCTCAGGAAGGTCTCTCTTCATTATTTGAGTCTCATATATTGCAGTGCATGAGGAGGGAGCTCTGTATACAGAGAAGAGCATCAATGGCTGATATAAGCCTACATCAGAAACAAGTCAATGAAAGCCAGGTACATTAAAAGAGCCATTATAATTGACAATACTGTATTCCACATAGTTTTAGTGTGCACAATGTCTTATTAACTTATTAAAAGTGACACAAAAATTACCGGTATTAATGCATTAGAATTTTAAGCTAAATAAAAATGATAAAATTAAAATGATAAAATTTGTAAAAACTAAGTGTATTTTATTACATATAATTTATTAACATTATTTTCATGTTTTTCTAATTCTTTATTAGGAAATAGTACTGTCTCAAGTACTGGAGTTAGATTGGTCAGAGGAGAGCAATAAGTTTGCAAGTACTATTGAGTCATTCATTAAGGAATCAGAAGACCAGGAACAATCTGCTCTCAGTCACATTAAGGAATCCCGTCAATCCCTGGAGGACATAGCCCATCGAACCACTCCTTATAAATCCCTATCCTCTCACGCTGCCCTCTCCTTTATAACTTGTCAGAGACTAAGTCAGAAACTGCCACAAGTCAATATTAGGCTGAAAGACTTTCTTGACATGCTGCAGTCTCTGTGTGAAGAGAGAGAAGGAACACGTTTCCATTCAAGTCACACTTCATTAGCTGCTTACTTGTCTCATTTAGAATCATCACTCACGACTCTAATACATGAACGGCTTTCGCCTCATCTTTTCGCTCACCAGTTAAACTATTTTCCACTTCTCTTGGCTATCCTTAAGGAAGCTTCAGCATCATCCAGCAGTAGTGGGAGATTGCTCACATCGTATATACTTAATCCAATGTCATTCTCAATCCGAAACTTGCTTGATGATATAATGTTCACGTCAGAGACCAGACCTGATTCTAAGAAGAAGTTAGCTAGTGAAGGAGTAATCAATATTGCACATTCACTGGAGGCAGTGGAAGGGCTTGAAGGATTAGTGTCCTCAATTCAAACTGATGAAGAGCAATGGTCAGACTACTTTAAAGTAAGATTATTATATTCACATGATTAAGTGTATCATTAAAATTGCATGTACATGTACATGTACTTGTATGATGCATATAGTTTTTCAAAACATGCTACTTGTTTGAAGCCATAGATAAGAGTAGGCATGGGTTGTGGTACATGAAGTCATAGTAAATAAAATATCTACTTGTCTGGCAGATGTTATGGGCATATAGCACCCTTGAGAAAAGTGGTCTTGGGGTCTCAGGCTATGTCCCAGGTGTGATATGCCCATAACACCCGTCAGACAGGTAGATATCTCATACTAATATGTATATTCTTCTTTTTTATTTTATGCAGAGCTTCTCTTCATTGCTTCTGCCTACTCCATTTTCTTCACATAATCTACTCAGTCCAACTCACAAACTGCTATTATGGAAAGCACTGGAACCTAATCAGGTACAGTACGTTATAGATAAACTACAGATGTTGAGGGTTACTGGATATGAGCTGAGGCTTCTAATCACCATCTGAGTGTATGTATCCAGTAACAGAAAACAGCTGTAGTTTTGGTAGTTAGATGGCATTTCTAGCTACTCCTCCTGTGGTCTCCACTATATACATGTAAACTTGTAGGGCTGCCTTTGATACACCCACACACTATAGTACAAACTGCATTACATTGACATTCAGAATTTACTGCATTATTTCAATGTATAATTATACATGTACTTTATTTAGTTTAATGTGACATTTTCAATTTATAGTTTGATGCGGCCATCAAAGATTACATCTGTCTGACACTGGGCCCTCAATTTGAAAAACCACACTCTTTCTCTGTACCAAGCAATCATGTGGGAATTATATTGGTATTTAACAAGGACGTGTCTTTTAATGAGTTAATCAGTGTGTCTAATGAAAGGGGCTTACCCATAGTAAGATTCTCAGCACTGAAGTTTGTGGATATTGATAGATTGAGGGAATTACTGGTTCAGCCAGTGTGGGTGGTTATTAATCATCTTTATCATTGTAAAGACTGGATGGACACAATGGAGAGGATAAATCAGGTATACATGCAATAATGTTATTACTTGGTTTAGGAACTAATGGGCAGGGCTTCCCACAGGATTTTGGCATATGTAGTGCTTATTGTCAAGAAATTTTTTTAAAGTTGCTCCAAAATTCTAGTATACTATAGATAGTACAGGTATTATACCAAAAATCACTAGGAGAGCATTCTCAATTTTATTATTTTTCTGATACATATGTATACACTTATGTTGTGAAAAAACTATAAACGAATTCCAATCAAAATTAATTTTTTAAAGAAGTGCAGAAATTAGGTGAAAACTGTGTATTCCATGGTTTTTTTCTGAAAGTTGGCTCCGAAATCACCCCAAATTTTTATTGCATTTTATAATGTATATTGATGTCCTTATGCTATCTTGAATTTTTAACTAATCGTAATCACTACTTTTCAATTATGAAATACATAAAAGGCATCATTTTTGATGCTATTTATTATTGCTATTTCAGCATGATCAATTACTATTGTTTCTATTCTTTTTGTATAGTGCTTGGAATCATCACAAGGAAGCTTTCATACTAGTTTCAAGTGCTTCATTCCACTATCACTACTGCAGCTACTTGCATTGAAGCATCACAGTGGGCTCTCATCATATCATGTAATAGCTCTAACAGGAAATGACTTGGCATCCTCCTTTACCACATCATTAAGGGAAAGACTACTTGATTACTATAATGTATTCAGTCATACTAAGAGGGAACCACAGTCACTCTCAATTGATGAACTAAAACCAATACTAAACAAGATTCATAGTTTATTACCACCCATTAAGTCAAATCTTATCTACGACAGTCAGGAAGATGACACAAATACAATATTAGAGACAATTCTTAATAAAGCCCATTCATCCTTACAATCACTGCAGAGCTATGTTGAAGGACATCAGTTATACACTGCACAAATTGGATTCACCTTGAGTGTATTAATGGATAATAATGTCCCTACTGACTGGTACTATCCACATCAACACATCAACAAAGGAAAGACTTTAGTGGAATTCATACAATTAGTGAGACACCTTTACTATTATTAGTGTATAGAGCTGGACTAATTTTTGCAAATCTATTATCATCATTTAAATTTAATTGCCCTCACGGACAGTTGCACAATGCGCTCACACACATGCGTGCACTCTTTCTCTCTCACTTCTTTTATTGGGCAAAGCCCTTAGTGATGGAGTGCATCTGTACAGACCGACTGTGGGTCATCATCTAACTATTATTAAGTTAAGTAACCTAATCTTTATGATGATTTTGTCGCTGGGCGAAGCCTCTTAATAGTTCACATTCTTCTAGTTATATGTATCTCTTTCTTATAATGATGCACACCAGACTAAATACACACATATTACATAATGCTGACAAATTTAATAGATTGATTTAATGGCATCTATGGCTATGCTACATGTACATGCAACACAATCACACTCCTCCATTAATATATATATTATGTACCTCTTAGAATCATGTACAATAGTGGCTCAAGGTAAGTAAGCCTGGGATATTACTCAAAAAGAACAAAATGACAAAATGAGAAAATTTAGACAAGCAAGCCATAATTGTAAATAAGAGACAGAGCTAGGTCATGTGCAAGTGTTGATACACAAAGAACTATTATGTTCATGCTTTGCTTGCTTAGAGCTCGCCTTAAAGTATTGTCTATTATAGTATATAATATACAATCTCTTCCTTAAGCTGGTATCTATATGTACATGTACATCATAGATCATAATTCATATTTTATCACTGTAATCTTCATGTTAATGTTAGCTGATAGTATAGTTGCCATTAGATCTAGAATAGCTATGATTAAGTTTCCACAGAGTAGAGTCTATGTATAAATTTGTATGATTTTTATTAGGATAATTTCATGATTAAACTTGTCTTAGTTTTGTCCCATCTCACTGTAATTATGTTTACAATGAGAAGCTCACATTTTTGTAATTACTACTAATGATGTGGTTTTACTACTAGTTATATACGGATTGTGTGGCGTACTACTAATTGTATATTAATTGTGTGGTGTACTACAAGTTGTATATTGTGTGGTGTACTACTAATTGTTTACTGATTGTGTGGTGTACTACTAATTGTTTACTGATTATGTGGTGTACTACTGCCATATAGTTTCAAATTTTCCTCGGTCAAAATTTTTGTCAAATTTGTCAGGTATTCTTGTTTGATAAAATTTTTAACTAATGAAATTTTTGTTTCACTTGGGTAATATGCAGATTAAAATGACGGAAATTTTATTGACGAAAATTAATTTTAACAAGGAATGAAGATTTTGACTAAATTTTTGACTTACAAAAGTTTGGAGCTATACAGTAATTGTATACTAATGGTGTGGTTTATTATTACTAATGGTACGTTTTACTTCTCTAATGGTTTAATAGTGTGATCTATAGCTGTTATGGAAAGCTATATTATACTGTTGCTACATTCGAAAGTTTTTGTAAAGGCAGAACTTTAATTTTTATGGAAGAACTATAATTTTAGTTTTCTAACCAACTGCATGGATGCATGTTTTTAGTATTAATCACTTTATTTGAATTTTGATCTGATAATGTCACATTCTTAGCATGTAGCCATGCAGAGCAATAATGACAGCTGTCAAATTATAAGCACTGACTTCTACCATGGTCTCTCTGTAACTTATTACTTGAAAGACAGAAACTCAGGCAGACAAATATGCAAAGAGTGGGTTAGGCCAATTATCTAAACTTATTGAAATCTTACTAGCAAATACCACAGTCACTATTTTTAGAAAGTTATTATTAGAAC